AGTAAATGACGACTGCTATGTTCATTATTACATCCAACAACAAAACACCTCAATCGCTTAGGAGACATTCTTGTCTACACCTGCTACAGCATCGAAACAATGGTGGACTGATGACAGCTCACTCAGGGCGGGTCTAAGGTTAGACGCCACTCCAGTCTGTGCTGAAACGCCACTGTCAATCAAACTATCGTGGGAGTGGCCTGTCTGTGTGATGTCACAAAGACCGGCTCGATTTGAGAAAGGGGTAAAGATTTTAGTAGATTAAAAAAAAAACACTGGGTGGATTTTTATCATTATAGGTTGGTTGTGTACACACACTGCCGACACCCATTTCAGTTCAAACAACTTGTAAAAGAGCATGAAGCATCGGATGACCCCTTTAATGTACATTGCAGCACCTCTTTTCTCACAGTGTCTGTAAAGGTTCAAGGATCCGGTCTCTCTAACCACCTCCTTTCTGAGAGTCTGCTCTGCTCTGATGGTCTGATGGTCCAGTCTATTGATTTACCTCTCACAGCGCATCATGTCCATTACCATATCTGAATTTCAGCTTCAGAGGCTTCTTCAGCACAGTATACAGATTATTTACTATTCAGCTGTTGTTACTGTTACAGTTCTTCACAACTTTCTGTGTGGGTGCTTCAGGTGGGTGCGCACAGTAAACTGTCTATCAGACAGTGTGCAAACACAGAATTGAGTTCTCCTTCGTGTCATATTAAAGGGGTCATATGATGTTGCTAAAAAGAACATTATTTTGTGTATTTGGTGTAATGAAATGTGTTTATGCGGTTTAAGGTTTAAAAAACACATTATTTTCCACATACTGTACATTATTGTTTCTCCTCTATGCTCCGCCTTTCTGAAACGTGTCAATTTTTACAAAGCTCATCGGTCTGAAAAGCGAGGTGTGCTCTGATTCGCCAGCTATCCAGTGCGTTGTGATTGGCCGAATACCTCAAGCGTGTGACGGAAATGTTACGCCCCTTACCATACTGTGATGCCTTGTCAGGCCAGAGCGTAACATAAAACCATGTCTGCATTTGTGATCCGAGAAATTACAAACAACAAGCGCTACTCTACACTGCCCAAAACTCGCGTTTGAATCGTTATAAATACAACTTAACCACTGATTTCTAGTCGTGTCCTCTTTTGGAAGGCCAAACAAAGTAGTTTCGCTTTCACAACAAAACACAGCATCACACGCGGCGGCCTAGACTGAGCGGAGGTGAGCTAGAGTGAGGAACGGCCGGCGGGCTGAGTGAGAGGAGGCCGGTGAGCTTGAGAACGGCGTGGCAACCACATGTGACGACCCCGGGCTGGACTCCGCTTCGTCCACGGTGAAAGCCGAT